GTGGAGTCCACTGACGGCAGCGTGAAGGACGGGTTGAGAAGCCCTCTGCTCTGCAAGAGGAAGAAAGGCCGCTGCATCTGTATTCTGCAGAGGAAAATCTCAAAATGTGATGCCTTCTGGAATTTAACTCTTCCTTTTCGTCATAATATGTTCCTCTCACCAGACTTCAACAGAATCTATTTCGACTCTTTACTCGTGGGCTGTTAACCTCTTACCAGACTAGATCTTTCTGTTGTTGTCCTGAATACTTTATGGCAATAGGACATATCAATGCACGTCCCATATGATTCCATAATGGAAGGGGAGTGTGGCCAAATTGCCATGTCTGCTGTTCTCATTTTTCTAATTTTTCTGTAGATTCTTTGGAAGGCTGCAAATCACCCTCTGATCCACAGCATCCAAGTGGAATTTTAATTTTGAACGGGCTCTGGTTGGACTCAAAGAGAATTAATTCCATAGTAATTAGGTGAGTGTCAGTTTTCCTTCTCAGTAAGCAATCCTGGGGCTTGGTGCTGAGCCAGGATGCCTGTGGAAATGATGTGTCTCTAGGGGAGGAGATATTTTCCAGCGGATGAGCCTTCCAGTACCAAGCTCTGCCTCACCTCTAGTGAGTCAACCACAGGGCTTCCACGAACTCAGGAAAGCACTCTGTGCTCTACAAAGGGCTGGAATCCAAGTGTTCTTCTTTGGCTAGAGCAGAAACAATAACAGGAACCTCCCCACCCACCTCTCTCTGCTTCAGGTAGTTAAGGTTTTGGAAATAAGTTGGTTGTTTTTTAGCCTTTGGAAGATCCTGGTCTCCCTTTTATCCAGCCCGCTCCAAAGTAAACACACCTGGGCCTGCTGCAGTCCCTCAGAGGCACAGCCTGGACCTGGCTTTGGCCGGTTTCTGACAGCCCAAGTGATGACTTGGATGCCTTTGCCCCCAAATAGCACAGATAGCCAACAGACCAGACCATTCTCCTCTGAGCGCTTTGCTGGGCAGAAGGAGATGGGGCATGAAATTCTCATAGGACTGTAATTCTCAGCACCTACACAGAGCTCGGCGAGTGGTGGGAACTCAGTAGGTGAATGTGTCTGTGGAATAAAATGACTGCGTGGCACATTACCCCCATTTGGTGTCACTCTTCTCTCTGCCGGCAAGACTTCTTCCTCTCTGAGATGTTGCAATTCAATTCCACCCTTTTTTTTTTTTTTTAAATTGGGGAGGGGTGGTGGTTTACAAGACCTACTAAATACCAAGTACTGAGTAGTTAAAAGATTGTGGACCCAACTTCTCCACTTATCTTTTTGGTAGTAGAGAAGTCAGCCTCTCTGGGCCTCAGCTCCTCATTATAAATGGGTAACAGTATCTTCCCAAAGGATTGTGGTGAAAATGAAACAACTCATTGTATTCAGCACAATGTCTGATCCTAGTAAGCGTTCAATACAGAATAACAACCACAACTGCTACTAACATTTATTGACTTCATACCAGGTATTGTTCAAGGCACTGGGGATAGGGGAGTGACTAAGAAAAGGACAATCCTACAATATACACATAAACTTCTTTATTTATTTATTTATTTATTTGTTTATTTATTTATTTATTTATTTATTTATTGTGCCACTAGGGGGAACTGAACCCGGGACTCTGGTCCACAGGCTGACGCTCCAACTGCTGAGCCAAACTGGCCAGGGCATATACACATTAACTTTAAAGAGGACAATTCGAATAGTGACAAGTATTATGAAAAAGTGAGACATAATGCTATGATAGATGACAAGAATGGAGGGACAGGCAATGCTACTTTAGATGTGGTGTCAAGGAATGTCCCCCCAAGGAGGTGATATGTGAACTGAGACACGGATGACAAGGGGGAACCAGCCAGTGAGGAGCCAAAGGAAGAGCATTCCAGACAGGGAGAAGAGCTAATCTAAAAGTCCAAAGGTGGGAATGATCTTGGTACGTCCCGGTGGGGGAGACCAGGCCAGCATGGTTGGCGTGAACTCAGGACAGCAGCTGCAGGAAGTGAGGCTGGAGATGCAGGCAGGGTCTTGGTCATAGAAGGCCATGAAGGTCATAAGGATGTGCTTTTTCTTTTACTTATTTTTAAATCTTCACCCTAGGGTATTTTTCCATTTATCTTCAGATACGGAGGGAGAGAGGGAGGAAAGGGGGGGGGGAGAGAAAGAGAAACATCAATGTGAGAGCGAGACATTGACTGGTCGCCTCCCACACGACCAGGGCTGAGGACCTTGCTGCAACTGAGGTATGTGCCCTTGACCGGAATCAAATCCGTGACTCTTTGGTCCGCAGGCCGACACTCTAACTGCTGAGCCAAACCAGCCAGGGCCATAAGGATGTGTTTAAATCATAAGAGTTATGGGAAGCCTCTGGAGGAGATTAATCCCAGGAATAACATTATCTGATTTACATTTAAGACCATCACTCAGGCTGCTCTATGAAGAATGGGGTGTGGAGGAAAGAGTGAAGGCAGGGACTTGGTCAGGAGGCTATTGTAATGGTCCAGGCCGCAGATGATGGTGTTTTGGACTAGGCTGATGGTGCAAACAGGGAGAAAAGAGCAGATGTGGGTCTATTTCTGGACTCAAGCAAATGGAGGTGGGGCAGTGTGTGGAGAAACAAAAGCCACACAAGAATGCTCCTAGGATTTTTGACCTGAGAGAAGGGGTGTATTTTCTCAGATGAGGGAGAAGAATGGGTTTTGGGGAAAATATCAAAGGGAACTCATACAAGGCAGGCTGGAACAGAGCATAGTGACAGTACCAAGTACAAAGGGAGGCAAGCAAGAGAGTGGCTAACTCTGGAGCTGGGGGAGTATGAGAGGGTTAGGTGGGCTGCAACTGAGCTCTGAAGTGCTGGCAATGGGAGGGATGCTGGTCCCGTGAGAGGAGTGGTTTGAGCATAAGTCTGGACAAAAACAGATAAGCTCATTTTTCAAATCTCTACCTATTTGTTTCTGGAAGCTGAGGAGACTGAGACTCAGAGAGGTTAAATAACTTGCCCAAGTCACACAGCTAGAAAGCGGTAAAATGAACATTCCTACTCCAAGCAAGAGTGCTAAATGGTGAAACTGAACATAACACAAGAGTGGGAGAAAGATGGGGGCTATAAGACATAAGATAGGAAAGGTGAGGTTGGGCCAAACTGTGAAGGGCTTGGAGTGCCAGAATGAAGAGAATGGGGCTTGTGTTATTGGTGAAGATGAAGAGAAGCCATTGTAGGCTGTCTTGTAGGCTGTCCAGTGGGCAAACAGCTGATCAGCACTGTGATTTTGGAAAGTGCCTGGCTGGATAGATGGGCTGGAATGAATAACACTTCATAACATTCACTTGTTTATTCATTTTATTTTTTGGTACGTGCCCTTAGCGGGAACTGAACCCGGGACTCTCTGGTCCGCAGGCCGATGCTCCAATCGCTGAGCCAAACCGGCCAGGGCTCACTTGTTTATTTTTTAAGAATACTGTAAAGTGTCAGGCACTGTGTTAGGTACAGGGGATATAATGACAAGAAACCCAGACACAATCTGTGCCCATATGGAAGAATTTAACAAATTAATCAGATAAGTGTGCAACACAAGTGTACAGCCTGAACCACCAAGTGGCAAATAAATACACGACTACAAAGTCACTTAGTAATCAGGATTTGACCTACTTTAGGGACCGGTCAAGACCTCCCTGCTGAGAACTGAGCATCCATTTGTGAACTCTGAAAAAAAAAAAAAAAGACACCTTCTAAGTAGGGCTACTGGTGGCTAACTAGGCTCAAATAAAAAAATAAAAAAATAAAAAACAGAGCCTAGCAGACATTTCTGCTCTGGGAGCCTCTATGCAAATTACATTGAGTTGCCTACTGCACTGTGTTTCAGCCATCTGAACCAGACCTCATAAAGGTTTCCTGGGATCCTACTTCAACCAATAGGATTGAAGATTTCCTCCTCAAATCAGAGCTGTGGAGCTTTGGCCAATCAGGGCAGCTCTATTCTGACCAATCAAGACAGTGCCTTTTGGACCTAACTGAAAATTTGGAGCCCTCATTTGCATGAGGACAGACCAATCAGGGACCAGGGGTGGAAAGTTCTGTCTATATAAGCCAGCTACCTGGTGACTCTTTTAATAGAGAATAATATTTGCTTCCTTGACCTAGAATACTGCTTACCTTCCTGGAGTGGAACAGAGCTACCTAGCCAGAGAGGGATCTGGCCCCAGGCGTGTTATTACAGCTCTACAGTTTTTCGCAGCTGTGTTATATTATAGCTGAATTGCTTTGCACTGAATAAAGTTTCCTTCTTCACTGAACCCCAAATTGGGTGTTCTTGCTGGTGTTGAATAGGTGCGAATGACCATCTGTGGACACACTGACCCCAGTTCTAGGCCATACATACACTGCCCCTAGCCCTTGTTAAATGGGGCAGGTCACTGCCTCTTTGGACCTCAGTTTCCCCAATTATGGAAAAAGAGCCTATATATATTATAATTTTCCTCTCCCACTATGGGATTTTCCTCTCCACAAAGACCACAAGCCCTGGCCGGTTGCTCAGTGGTTAGAGCATCGGCCTGCGGTCCAGAGAGACCCGGGTTTGGTTCCTGCTAAGGGCACATACCTCTGTTGCAGTTTGTCCCCGGCCCTGGTCGTGCAGGTGGCAACCAGTCGATATGTCCCTTTCAGGTAGATGTTTCTCTCTCTCTCCTTCCCACTCTTTCTGAACAAAAAATGGAAAAATGTCCTCAGGTGAGGATAAAAAATAAATAAATAAATAACCACAGATCCCACTCCAAAGCTACTAATTGCCAGTGGTGTCTTGACGTTAGAGCGAAGTACTTCAGCCATTGCCTTTAGCCTTCCCAGGAGGCCTCTGTCTGTTCCCTGTTGTCACGGTAACTGCCTGGGCACACTTCTGGCGGAAACTTGGAGTGAGAACAGCAACTAGCCACTATCATGTGTCCTATTTGCCCGGTTAAAATATGGCCACCGCCGCAACATCCAGCCTAAGCTGCTCACTAAACACACGGGGCCTGACTGCTCTGGGGCCTACTCTACCGCAGGAAAGGGAGGAACAACGCCCCAACGGTGAGAGAACAAAATTCCCGGAAACCCCCATCCGACCCTTAGCTCCTCCCACCTCTCCGGGAAGCGAGGGACCACCACCCTAAAGCGTCACTTCCGTAGATCCCGGCACCAAGAATTGACAGACGCGCCATCCAACCAACAGTGGGTATGATCCCAGCCCCAGGCGGGGGCGGGCTGGAGGTCGGGAAGCCCGGCCCCTCGCCGACTGGTGACGTCGGAGCCGACATGGCCAGCTATCCCTACGGGCAGGTGAGTGTGAGGGGCGGGCGAACCCGGGCAGGGGCCTCGCCAAGCCCAGGCCCAGAGCCCCGGCTTTGCTTTCTCCCCGGTTCTCCGTGCCCTCCCCACGCTGAGCTTGGCGTCAGCAAGGTCTCGCGCGGCTGAGAAGGGAAAGCGATGGTCGGTCGCACGTACGCAGAACTGCACTTCTGGGAGGTCGCCTCGCGCCCCCTTTTGACGTCTCGCACGCGAGGATTTGGGGACCTTGGGCCCCCCAGATTCAGGCTGGGCTTGGCCTGGGCCCCACGCTTTCTCAAGGCTCTCGCAGGGGTGCCCGGGCGGGGTCGCCGCCGCCAGCAGGACGTTTAGAGCACTGGTCCGTCGGTATCTTTTGGGGCGTCGGATAAAAGCACACCCCTGACCTATTGGAATAATCAGGAGAATCTTTGGTTTTAGCAGTCTCCGCACGTGAGCTTGTTTGACTGCTTAGCCCAACACCTCCATTTCACACACACGAAAAGTGAAACCCAGAGAAGACACAGAACTTACCTGTAGTCACCAGGCAGTTAGGCAGCAGACCTCGGAGCTGCCAGCAAATGTTGCTTCTCCACTTGCCAGCCCATCTTGATCCAACCAGGAACACCACAGCAAGGCGATTCTGTGGCCAGAATCCTTTGTTGGATGGTAGAATGGTTGAGGGATTAGGTACAGTTTGGAGTCAGAGGAAGGGTCACACCTTGGTTCCATCACTTAAATAGTTTTGAACCCCGGAGCAAGATATTTTGTTTTTCTGAGCGAAGCTTCCTCCTCTGCAAAATAGGGCTAAACAAGAAGGTTTACCTGGTAGAGCTGTTGTGAAGAGTAATGACGTGATGCTTGTAAGCCATTTGGTACTACTAAGAGTATAACAGGTGTTACCTTTCCGAATTTTGATTTTTACTATACTCCTAGAGTTCATTTTTGGGAGGGCCCTCAAAATAGTCCCTTCATTTTAAAAGGAGGAAACTAAGCCCAATGAGGGCTCCTGAGTTACCCAAGATCACACTAAGTTAGGAGATAAAACTCATGCAGGAAAAATGGTTAAACAAGATCATATGGGATATGACAAAGTGCTCAGTTGAGTGTAGTTAACATGCCAAAAGATGGGACAAGAACCCTTGGAGGGAGTGCAACCTGGTACAGTTTTTGTACATAGTATTTGGACCTCCATTATCTCAATCATGAAGGCCCAGTAGACATGCTAGTAAGGAGTGTTACCCCTAACTTAGAGCTGAGGAACCAGCCCAAAGCAGTTAAGTGATTTGTTCAAGGTCATACATAGCAAGCGAGGGGATGAGGTCGGGGCCAGAACTTAAACTCCTCTCATTGCATACTTAGCAGAAATAGGAAGGAGAGAGGCCAGCATGTGCTGGAGTTAGGAGGAAGTATAACTTAGCAGTGTTTCCCAAGTTCCGTTCTATTCTCTGAGTCTTGGGAGATGTTAGTAGGTATTGGTAATGGAGGACGATTCTGTGGTTAAATAAGTTTGTGGAATACTCTTTTTTTTAAAAAAACTTTTTCTTTACTGATTTGAGAGAGAGAGGAAGGCAGAGGTAGAGAGAGACAGAAACATCAGTGAGAGAGAACATCGATCGGCCCCCACTGAGGACCTGGCCTACAACCTGGGCATGTACCTTGATGAGGAATTGAACTGGCAACCTCTTAGTGCATGGGTCAACGCTCAACCACTGAGCCACACTGGCTGGACTTTTATTTTTTTTTTAATGATTTTTAGAGAGATAGAAACATCGATGAGAGAGAACACTGACTGACCGCCTCCTGCATGCCCCCCATTGGGGATTTGGCCTATCACCTGCTCATGTGCCCTGACTGGGAATTGAACTGGTGACCTCTTGGTGCATGGGTCGAGGAATACTCTTAAATAGAGCTGAACAAGTTCACCACAGGGTACCTCAGTGTTTCTTAAACTTACTTAACCATGGGACCCTTCCCCCCTTTTAAATGTGTAGTCATTTTTTTGGTAACACTAGTATTCCTGAGAAACCTAGTTTGGGTAAACATTGCCATAGTGCATTGTTTCTCAGTAGATGGTCTGCATCAGAATCACTTAGGGGCTTGTTGAAAAAGCACAATTTGAGGTTCCATCACAGACCTGTTCTGCACGTCTGAAATGCCTTACATATTAATAAGCTTTTGGAGGTAATTTGTATGTGTCCTAGAAGTAACAGAAATTAAGAGCCTGAACTTCCAGGTTAGACAGAATGAGGCTAGAATTTTAATTCTACTACTTAATAGTTATAGCCCTTGGATAAATTATCTAAGGGCTCGGAACCTCAATTTCCTACTTGTAAAAAGAGAGGACTAATACTCCATAGGACTGAAATGAGGGTGAAATATGATAAAACCTATAGGAGCTTGGCACATTGCTAGTACGCAGTGTGTGCCAGTGCATGATGGCATAGCTCTTGCTGCTGCGATTACTGTTATCGTGCCCTGCTGCCTGTCTTATGCTCAGTGAAATACCGAAAAGGAGTTCAGAAAGAAACATGTCTGGAATAGAAGAAGAATGCTTTTGTCTCCCCACCATACCCTTGTCCACCTGTTCAGCTCCTGGTCCATGGTGTCCCAAGAAAGGAAATGAAGTTGTTTTAAAGCATCCACAGGCTTATCACCACCTCCCCTCCAGCTGGTACATAGCCCTGGAGGATTCCAGCTTATTGTTAGGAGTCAAAACTAATTTTCCACTGCCTCTTGCCCCAGGGTCCTCAAGCAGGGGCTGGGTGTTGGAATAGTAAAAGTCAAGTACCCTTTGGTCCTGTGGAGGAGCCAGCCTGTTTAAGAGCTTGGTCTCTGCCCTGGCCGGTTTGGGTCAGCGGTTAGAGCATCGGCCTGCGGTCCAGAGAGACCCGGGTTCGGTTTCCGTTAAGGGCACGTACCTCGGTTGCAGTTTGTCCCCGGCCCTGGTAGGTCGTGTGGGTGGCAGCCACTCGATGTGTCCCTTTCACGTCGATGTTTCTCTCTCTCTCTTCCTCTCTCTCCCTCCCACTCTACCTGAACAAAAAATGGAAAAATGTCCTCGGGTGAGGATAAAAAAAAAAAAAAAGAGCTTGGTCTCTGAGACAGAGAGATTTGGCTTCAAATCCCTGCTCTGCCATTTCCTTGCAGGAATTTCTTGGGAAAGTCTGAGGCTCAGTTTCCATGTGGAAGAGTGATATATAAATTATAGAGTCAGTGTGATAAGTATTGAATGGGAGTGAGTGTAAGGTACTGGACCGTACAGGAAGGATACCTAACTCAGTCTCCGGGGGAGAAGGTTTCTTAAAGAAGGTGACATTTAAGCCCAAAATGGAATCTCCGGTAGGAGTGAGCTGGGTTATGAAAGGAATGGTATTCCAGTAGAAGGAATAGAATGCTCAACAGCCAGGAAGCAAGTGAGCCCAGTATCTTGGAGAAATTTAAGAAGATCAGTGAAGAGGGGGAAAGGGGTAAGAAAGGAGACGAGAAAGGTAAGCAAGGATCAGATGCCCTTTTGAGGAGTGTGGACTTCGTCCTGAGTGGTGAAGGAACTGCCGAAGAGTTTTCTCTCATTTGTACTTTGGAGCTATTACTATGGGGCGCCGCGGGAATGGGTTGAAGCAGGACAGGCCGGAAGCCGGGAGACCAGTTTCAAAGCTATTGACCTGGTGAAAAGGGTTTGAGAAGCATCTGGGAGGTAGGGTTGAGAAAACTTGGTGTCGGAAGGAAGGAAAGAGGAGGTGCTCAGGAGGGCACTGGGGTTTCCCATTCACTGAGATGGGAACAGAGAGAGGAGTAGATTTGGAGGGAAGATCCAGGAGGTTGTTGGGTACGGGTGCCTGCAGCTTAGATGAAATGAAGCTGGAGGGAAAGATGGCACTTTGGGAGTGTCAGCACAGATGTACATAATTGAAATCTTGGGGCAGTCTTGGCTCACTGTTTATTGGCTGCAGATTTGTGGACTTTAAATATTTTAGAAGGCTCTGCTGGTGAATGTCTGAGCCACTCCTCTGTCTTGTGATCAACCTTTTAGAATAGGCTCCAGCCTCCTCCAGCAGGCCTTGAGGGGTAGCTCCGGAGCACAGGCTTGCCCTGGCAGTGCCGCCTGCTCTCCTCCCCAGCAGGACTCAGCATGAGCCAACCTTTGACCCCAGCAGGCTTCACAAGGGTCTTGGAGGTAGAAGCATGAGCCCTCAGAGCCAAAAGAAAATACAGGACTTTCTGAGTGGATTATTTGGGATGGGCTGAGTCCCCCCCACTTTCAGGAATACAGAGATTCCAGAGATTTTAACATTGACTGAGAAGCTGGACTATAGGACCTTTGGGATTTCTTACAATACTGTGGCTCTCAAATTGGGTCTAGAGCTGGAGGGCAAAAAGAAGAAGATGATTCTGAGCCTCCCGGATTTCTGGCCTTGAAACCTCTGAAAGAACACTAATCCAACCCTTCTCCCTTTACCCCCTTCTACTGTAGAAATCCACCGTATTTCACAGAAACATTTAGGACAGTCCCTGGCACTGGCATATAGTAGATGCCCACTCATTTATTGAGTGAACGCAGAAGAGGGTAGTGTAGTGGAATCATGCAGACCCTTATTTGAATCCCAACTCACCTGTTTTAGCTGCATCACCACAGGCACAGAATGAAACTCTCTGCACCTTAATTTTCTTATCTGTAAAAAGGAGATAATAGCACTTACCTTACAGGACTGAGGATCACTGAGAGCCAATTGAACTAGAAGCATTTAGCAGAGCCTCAGTAAAAGTTAATTGCCCCCTCCCCAACCTCAATATTTCTGTGATGCTTTGGAAACCATGGTTACTGGACTCTTCCCTGTCTTCCCCTCCCCCCTTTCACAGTCTTCTGTTTATCAGCATGAAATGCTTTTGGGAAAACTCTCAAAAAGGTTGGCAGCATGGAGTAGGATAAAAGAACCTGGGGTGAGGGACTTGTTTTCATTTTAATTCAGACCTTCACTAACAACTCAGTGACCCTGGGAACCATCTTTCTGAGCCTGGATTCTGCCTCAGTTGGTGGCTCCACTTCCTTCATATTCTTGTGCAGCTAGAAACCTGCGTCATTCCAAACATTTCCCTTGCCTCCCTCCTCCCACCAGCTCTTCCCTAACCTAATTAGTTGCCAAGTCATGTCTAGTCTATCTCTGAAATAGCTTCAGAATCCATCCTGTTCTCTCCATCTCCAAGTCTGCTATCTGGTTCAAGCCCTGCTGGCCGGCACTCAGCCTACTGCCTCCCCCGCCAGCTCATCCTCCACACCGCCGCTGGTTAATGCTCTAGACACGGCTCTGACCATGTTCCTCCCCTACTGGAAACCCTTCTATGGTGCTCTGTTTCCTCCAGCATAAAGCCCGAACTCTTTAGAGTGGTAGTCATTTGTTCAGATGCTTATGGAGGCTTGCAGGTGCCAGGCACTGTGCTGGACCCTGGGGTACTGTGGTGAATGAGGCGCAGTGTCTGCCCGTGGGGAGCTCACTGTTGCATGGAGGAGACCATAGACAGAAACTACTCGAAGACACCAGTAACTGAAATACAGCAGGAGAGGTGTGGACAAGGAGTGTGTAAAGGCCTGCCTTGCTGAGTTCTTGCCTCTGCCCCCTGCTTTTTAGCCTATTCCTTGACCACTCCATGCTTGCTCATAGGTCTGTGCCTGTGCCTTTGTCTCTCTTCACTCTTCTGTCTGGAATGTCCCTTTCTGCCTTCCTTTTGGAGAAGGCCTATACATCCTTCACTGCCAGCTTCAGTATTACTCCTGCCTCCTCCAGGAAGCCTTCCTTGACCCACTTTGTGCATTTGTTCATTTTATTGCCCATTTATCATTCAACAAACAGAACACATTTCTATGCCCATGCCTCCTTGACAGCATTTAAGTAGATTTTCTGGTGGCACTTATCAAACTATCATAATTATCTGTGGGTTCCTCGCTGACAGACCCTGTTTAATTTTGTGCCCCCAGGCCTAGCACAAAGCCTAGCATAATATTGTCCCTCTGTAACTGCTTTCTGAATGAAGTCTATTAACAGTTGTTACCTCAGTTTCCTCATCTGAAAATGGGTCTACTATTTTCTTCCTTTTTTCTGTTAGAGAATTGTGGGCAGGATTGTGCCAGTGATATTTGTGTGTATGTGAAAGTGCTTTGTAAACTGCACGCATAAGGCTTTAACGCAGGGCGGAAAGGAAAGGGTTTAGCTGCTGCCAGGCTGCACCGGGCCCCTAGAATGTGATAGGGAAGGTCAGAGGGCAGCACCTGCTTTGTTGGCCTGGGGCCATTTCCCAGGGTGCCCTAGGCCAAGTGCAGCTTATGGCTTTGTTCATAGGGCTTATTGTGAAGCAGCAACTTCCTGGCTTGGTGTCCAGCCTGTTCTTTGGGTGTGCCCAGACTCTGCAGGGTCCCTACCCCCTTTTCTGTCCTACACCAGAATCCTGTTCCCTGTTGCTTAAGGAAAGAATGCGGCAGCAGGAGGCAGGGGAGTCTTTGGGCCTGGGTGTGAGTGGAGAGTGGTCTAGCTCTGCCTCTGCCTCCAGCGCCCTTCCCCTCTCTTGGCCTCAGCTTTTCCATCTGTAAGCTGAAAGAATTAGTTGGGTGATTGGCCTCCGGGGCACTTCTCCCAAGCCTCTCCGACTGCCTTGGGAATCTTTTATTTTGTAAGTCTCAGCTCCCTTGCTGCTTTCTTATGGAAACCCTCCCTGACTCACCCTGTCTCCTTTGGGATCCATGCGCCATGACTTATGCCTCCATTTTATTTGATTGTGTTTTTTTGGAACATGCCCCTGGCGGGAACTGAACCTGGGACTCTTTGGTCCACAGGCCAACACTCCAACCACTGAGCCAAACCGGCCAGGGCTTATGCCTTCATTTTAAACACCTAGTTCCTTATGCTGTTTTGTTAGGTGTTACGGAGAGTATTTCCGTACCTGTCCCATTAACTGTGAGCTCCTTCAGAACTTTCACTGTCCTTAATGTCCCCGCCCCGACTGTACCTGGCCCAGGGCTTTTCTGATACTAGTAACATAATACTGGAGGTAACCGCTATTGATCACTTCCTTTATGCCAGATACTGTTGTAAAACTTTTATTTCTTATGTTAATGATTTTCAGACTGTCTTTTGAGTCTGAGGGGTCTGCAGATCTCCCTCACAATCCAGCAGGGGAAGGGCCCTCATGGTCAGGGCTCTGGGACCGCCACCTTGCTTCAGCCAGAGCAACTTTTATCAGTTTTTAAATTTTTATTTTCTCAAAAGATTCTCTAGCTCAAAATGAAACCAACAAAATTCTGCTGCGTTTATTTCTCATAATCTGCAGAACAATTAATTCATTGAGGAAGGGACTGTCATATTCTGTGTGTGAGGAAAGGCTCAGAGGGACTCAGCCACTGGTCCATGGTCATGAACTCAGGTGAGAGCAGAGTTTTGGACTGAGATTTGCCCGTGAGTTCGTTGTCAGGGAAGGCTCTTCTACTAGCTGTGGCAGCCTCCAGGGCGGAAGAGCCCCATGATGCTGAGTGGGGAGGGCAGAAGAGCCTGCTTCCGGTCCTCCCTCAAGGAGCCTCCCTTCTTGGTCAAGCAGACCCTCGTTAGATAAAGTGTGACCTTGTCCTTAGCCTTGAGGACAACTGTCCCAGAAACTGTCAAACACAATGAAGAGAGAAGGTCCAAGCTCTCGGTGGCTAGGCCATGGGTGTGCCTTGCAGGGTGATCTAGAACGTGTCTGGGTGTTACCATCCTCACAGTCCTCAGCGCTGGCCCAGCTGCTCTCGGTGTCCTTGAGCTCAGCCTGTCTGCAGATGTGTTGGGGCTGTGCCCTGCCAGGCCTTTTGCTGGCCATTTAGGGAGTAGGAGCTGAACACTCCTGCTCAGGGATCCCTGACCAGAGGCGTGGGGACATGGACAGGAGAGGGAATGCAGCCCGGTGTGCTCTAATGTACACATGGCCTCTAATGTACCTTGGCAGCCGGGAGACCTGCATTCTGGCCCCAGCCCCTCCACACAGTGTGTTTGTGTGTGATTTTTTCTGGACTTGCGTTTCCTGCTCCTTAGGAGGGTGCTATTATTATTATCATTTTGTGGTACGTGCCCCTAGCAGGAACCGAACCCAGGACTCTCTGGTCTGCAGGCCGATGCTCAACCGCTGAGCCAAACCGGCCAGAGCAAAGGGTACTATTATTAATTGTTAATGTGCATTGAGTGCTTACTGTGTGCCCAGGTCTGTGTCACAGTGCTTCATGTGACTGGTCTCATTTCATTCACATACCAGCCTGGAGGTGAGCGGGCACTATTATTCCCATTTTAGAACATAGGATATTGAGGCTTAAAGAGAGTAAGTCATTAGACCAGTTAGTAAGTGGCAGAACCTGAACTTGAACCGATCCCTTTTGACTCTTAACCAATGTATAATATCGCGTTAGGAATAGGGTCTTGCCTGCCTGTCTCACAGATCCATGAGTGGGGATGGGAAAATGTTTTTGCATCATGAGCTAGAGTAGGGTAAGGAAGGCATGCTAAGCATGACTCCATGTGATGGACACATTGTTGGTGACTGACGAGGGTCACTTCTGTAGTGTGAATTCTGCAGGTGGAGATGAGGGTACCACAGGGTGAGAATTGGAATTCTGTTTGATTCATTTGCCCACTCATTCATACAGTAGATATTTACTGAGCGTCCATTCTACACTGGGGGCTGGGGTTAAAGTTGCTAACCAGACATGATCCCAGCCCTGGTGGAGCCCCTTGGGCATGTAGGGAAGGGGAGCCATGAGGGTAGACTCGGGTTCCCCATGTGAGTAATGGGGTCGTAATTCCAGCCTTGCCTGTAGGGTCAGTGGAAAGCATGGTGGTGGCAGAGCTTTAGAACTGTCAAGTGCCATGCTGTGACTGGCTTCCGGCGCTGTCATTCTGACTGACATCTTGCTCTTCTTGCAGGGCTGCCCAGGAGCTGGAGGACAAGCGCCTGGAGCCCCTCCGGGTAGCTACTACCCTGGCGGAGGGCAGTATGGCAGCGGGGTACCCCCTGGTGGTGGTTATGGAGGAGGTCCAGCCCCTGGAGGGCCTTATGGACACCCCAACCCTGGGGGGCTCCCCTCTGGAGCTCCAGGAGGACCATATGGCGGTGCGGCCCCAGGGGGCCCCTATGGTCAGCCACCTCCAAATTCCTATGGTGCCCAGCATCCCGGGCCTTACGGACAGGGGCCTCCTCCAGGTAAGTAAGGATATTGAGCCCCAGGGCCCACCCTTGCCCTTCCTGTGGATATGTAGGCAGCCTGGTCTCTGATCCCTTAGCATCTTGCTTCTTGCTTCTAGCTTCAGCTTGTATCTGCAGAGTCGAAGTCCGCTAGTTAACTTCGCTGGGGTAATGACAACTCCAAAATCTCTTTGGCTTACAACAACAAACATTTGTTTCTATTACTTGCTCACACTTACTCATTCTTGCTTACATGTCAGCAGCTGTGGGTTTGGCTGCTGAGGTTCTGCTCCACATGTCTTTTCTCTCCAGGATCCAGGCTGGAGGGACAGCCCCTATTGGAGATACGTCGTTCTTGTGGCAGACAAAAAAGAGCAGGAGAGCGAGCAGGAATGCCTGCTGCGTCTTTATGCTTTTGCTTTCAAGTACTTTATATCACTTCCACTCATGGTTTCTTGGCCAAACCACACCCCCTGGCCCAGCCTGAGACTAATAGGATGGGAATGGATACTCCTCTCGTGAAGGGCCTCTGCAAGCTACCAGGCAGGGAGAGGATGCACAATGCTCTTCCAGGGGAGGTGGCGGGGGCAGGGCAGAGGTGAGCACGTAATTGGAGATAATAATACAGTCTGTCATGAGGAGAATCCCGATTTCTGTGTAAGGGAGACTGGCTACCATATGTAGAATGGCAACGTAGTGTAGTTGTTGAAAGCTTAGGGTTCTGAGATCTGACCACCTACTGACCTGACCAAATTACTTCACCTCTTTAAGCCTCAGTGTTTACATCTGTAAAATGGGTGAATGTCTCTCACAAGATTGTTAATAAGGATCAAATAAGAACATATGGATAAACTATGGGCACAGTGTCTGGCATGTGGGAAGGGCTTAATAAACAATATTCTGTGAGAGAACTCGTACTGGGCACTCTTAGCAGAGAGGTGTTCAGTATTTACTGTGATGGCAGATGTGGTGAGGGCCTTACACTGGACAGTGCTGAAGCAGGCAGACGGTGGAATGAGCTAGGGGAGGGATAAAGAGCAGAGATACTAAAGGTGAGGTACTGGACAAGATGAAAGCAGAGGGGGTTTGGCTATTCAGCGGAGGCAAAGAATCTTGAGTGAGGGCTTTGGGCTCAGTGAAGATTTCTGAGTGGTCTCAGACAGCAGGGTCAGGGAAGTGCCCAGTCCCCCACTTCCTTCCAAACTCATTCAGCCAGCCTGCTCACGGTCTGCTGCTCCCAGGAGACCAGGCCAGCAGCAAGGCAGCCGGTCTGGTGCACCTGAGGGCCTCCAGGGAGCGGCACTGCTGGGAAGCCGCAGCATCTCGGCACGGATACCCAGGCAGGAGGCTGGAGGGAGAGTTCAGACCGGGAGGCGGGGCTTCTGAACAGGGTGAGCCGTGGCATTTATCTTGTCAGAGCCCAGAGCTTCTGGCCGTTTGCTTTCAGCTCAGCAGCTTCATGGTGGATGTCCTCATCCTTTTCAAATCTTGTCTCTGAGCCTACATGAGGTCATTGCAGGGAATGGAGCCCCTGGCTGTGAGGCTTACCCCTCCAGGCCTGAGGCCAGAGATCATCTCTGAGGCTGAAGAGGAAAGGAAAGCTGAGCCTTAGGCTCTTAGCTGCTCACCCTCTGCAGCTGCTGCTCACCTGGCCCCCGCAGCCCCCTCTCCCGTGCAGTGGTGGCCTCCTGGAGCGGTGCTTCTAATAGTGCTTCATGGTTCGCATGACACCTGCCTTGGTCACCTGCAGCCCCCCTGAAGCCAGGATCTAAGGTTTGAGCACCACTGCTCTGTATGACAGGTTTGACCAATGCAGGTGTCCCACTGCCCACAGGCAATACCCTAACGACACTCCAGACCCAAAGGCCTTTCCAGCCTCCTCACCTGAATTACTCTTCCCGTCCATCAACCCAAGACCCCTCAGAGACTCTGAACACACCTGGTGTCTCTGCCATGTGCTTTTTCTCTCCCCGTCACGACTCTGTCCTTTTGGATCCAGTTCAAATATTCCTTCCTCTGTGGAAATGGGACTGCACACATTCCAGGCCCTTGGCTAAAACTTTGCTGTAATTTCACTTAATCATCACAATCACCCTGGGAAGTAGGTCTCAGAAAATGAAACAATTAGTCTAAAGTCACTCCAAGTAGGATCAGAGCTCTTTGCTTCCAGAGCCTAGATCTATGCACGCTACAGGGACCACATGTTACACAGACGGTCCCTCTTCAGGCTGTGGCCCTTACTCCCCAAGACAAAGCTGCCGTTTTAGGAAGGGCAGTGGGGCCTGCCTGGTTTCCCATTCAAGGAGGTCAGAGAGTCCCTGTCAGGCAAACCCGGCCTCCCTCTGGGACTGGGCGCTGGTTTCTGTGCTGTGCGAAGGCCCGTGGCTGTCTCTGATACTGCCTGTGTGAAGGAGCCCTTTCTGTGGCCAATTAAACTTTATTCGAGGTTTAGCAATACTGTGTAATTCCGGCTTTTTCCCAAGACAGTCTTCTGTGCTTCTCCACTTTCATTGGTCATCCTTTCCCCGACACTCCAGCTCACGCTGCCTGTCCTTCCAAGTGAATGCTCCTTTCCTCCGTCTGCTGACAGACACGACGGTACTTACCTGCTCCCGACAGACACACACAGCTATTTGAGCACAGCATCACTAATAATCAGCAGTAATATGGTGCTTAGGTTGTGGCAGGTGCTGATTTAGGGTTTTTTTATATAATTATATCTTCACAATTTATGAAGTAGATGCTATTGTGTCTTCATTTTATAGGTAAGAAAACTGATCCACAGAGACTTTAAATAACTTAACCATGGCTATAAAGTGGGGTTGGGGGGCTAAGACTGGAACTGAGGCCAGCTCCAGCATGAATTCGGTACCTTCTTTTCTGTGCGTGGCTCTGTGCTAGCCGCTGGGGTTCAGGGATGACTTAGGCTCCTGCCCACGGGTTGCTCCAAGTCTGACCTGGAAGGTGGTTAGAAACACACAGTGGAGTGAGCAGGGCCATGAAGGAGCAGGAGCAGAAAGGAGAGGGGAAGAGGGCCTTTCCAGGGACAGAGAGGAATGGGAGAAAGGAACAGCATTTCATCTGAGATGAGGGGGAAGGGGCCCGAGGCAGAGAACAGGGTGCAGAAAGCGCTCCGCAGTGGGAGCGTGCAGGGTGGGTAAGAGCGAGTGTGATGCTTCATCTGGGCGGGGGCGGGGCCAGAGGCGGGAGGCGCAGCGGGGGCCCAGTGGGAGAGGCAGGCGGGAGTGAACCCCTGGAGTGCTGTTTTAAGGATGCTTTGAAGAGTTTTCGGTTGGGCTGGGGGGAAATTGGCAAGAATGAAGTTGAATTTTACAAAGATTACTCAGTAGCAGGTGAAGGGTGGTGGAGAGTAGCTGTAAAGTTGGTGTGGTTGGGCTCCTTGGTTTGTTACAGCAGTGCAGGTGAGAGGTGTCTGAACCTGGGCAGGTGCAGGAGGAATACAGAGGAGGAGGAGGTACCTGTCTGTGGAACTGACAGAATTGGGCAGCTCTGGATGTGTGGGGTGAGAAGACGCCTCCTGGGAGTTTTGGAGATGGGGACGCACATAGCACATCTGAGGTGGTGGGGCTCGAAGAGAGGTGGAGCTTTGTAGCCCCCCACTCTGCCCACGCCTGATAGACTGTCAGCTGTCCACTGTGCCGGGCAGTCAGACCTGGTTCCACCCCGGGAGCTCGCTGCTGCTGGGACTCTCAAATACCTGTCTGGTCTGTGATGTTAGGTGCTTAGCAAACATTTTGGGGGAAGAGATAATTCCGCCTTTCAGAGAATTGTTAACCAGCTGTACAGGTCCTTGTTCCTTAGAAACTTAAAACCAGACAGAGAAGTGACTGGAGCACTGTAGGGAAAGCCTGAGGGAGTCACAGTGGAAATCAACCAGAGACTTGTGAGTGGACACTGACGGTCCTCTTCCATCAGAGTAAGGGTGTTGGCCTGATGGAAGACAGGGCTGGTGGGTTTGTGAGGCTTCGTGGGTAGAGAGAACTCCTCACCAGGGGGGTACTTAGACTGCTCTTCCCAGCAGATGGGCCGTCAGGCCTTCCTTTGACTCCCCTGGTTCGCACCCCTTCCTGCAGGTGGCGTCCCTCCCAATGTAGACCCCGAGGCTTACTCCTGGTTCCAGTCAGTGGACTCCGATCACAGTGGCTACATCTCCACCAAGGAGCTGAAGCAGGCCCTGGTCAACTCCAACTGGTCCTCGTTCAGTGATGAGACGTGCCTGATGATGATGAGTGAGTACTGGCCCTTCCCCGAGGGCTCAGGCCTGGGGCAGAGACCTGATAGTAGGTGGGTGGGTGACCATTCTGAGGAAAACTCTTTTGGCCAGGGGGTGGTTTCAGGCAAGAAACTGGGTTGAGATCACCTAGACTGAGAGCTCTTCCCCTTAGATCTTTCCTCAAGTTCCAGGCCCTGCTGGGTCACAGGCTAACTCCATTTCCCATTCTGCAGACTGGGACTCCATGCCCTGGTTGGAGATAGCAGGGAGGAGTCATCTGCCAAGCCTGCAGAGAAAACGGGGTGGCCAGGGGTGCGGGCTGCTGTGGCACTTGGTGAGGGTATGTCTTGGGTACAAGCAGCTGGGCCTCGGGCCTATCGTTCTGTGGAGTCTCCTACTCCATCAAGCCTGAGGAGAAGGGCTACCCGGGGACCCTTGGCCCTCAGTCCTGAAGCCTTCCTTCCCTCCTTTCCCTTCTCCCCAAGACATGTTTGACAAGACCAAGTCGGGCCGCATGGATGTCTACGGTTTCTCAGCCCTGTGGAAGTTCATCCAGCAGTGGAAGAACCTTTTCCAGCAGTATGACCGAGACCACTCGGGCTCCATCAGCTACACGGAGCTGCAGCAAGGTGAGGGCCGTGGCGGGGACTCGGTGCCTTTCTCTAGCCTTGACTACCAGATGTCCACTGCACTGCAAAATGCTGCCTCAGCACAGGCCTCCTCTCCACCTTCTGTGACCTGGCTGGGGCTTTGAGCCAAGATCCAGAGCCAGGGAACACCTGGGTCCAGGATCAGGACGGGACTCCTGGCCGTGCTAGGTGAGGCAGGCCCAACCTGCAGGGAGCCATGGGGATGGGAACGTAGCCCAGGTGCGGTGAGACCGGGCGCGTGGTGCGTGTGGCTCTTTCCGCTCAGTTTCTAGCATCAGAATGGAAAGAGCCCTGTATAGGGGCTCGGAAAGAGGGCTTCTGTTGCTGCTCTGCTAGAAGGCAGTTACCTTCCCAACTCTGGGACCTGGGCCACTCTAATGCTGCAGCTGGGTAAGATGACCTGAAGCCACAGTTCCAAGTCTGGTTCCAGTTCTGACTCTAGAGCAGTGGGTCTCAACCTTGCTAATGCCACGACCCTTTAATACAATTCCTCACGTTGTGGTGACCCCCAGCCATAAAATTATTTTTGTTGCGCCCTGGCCAGTTTGGCTCAGCGGTTAGAGTGTCGGCCTGCAGTCCAGAGAGACCTGGATTCGGTTCCCGCTAAGGGCATGTACCTCGGTTGCAGTTTGTCCCCGGCCCAGGTTGGTCGTGCGGGTGGCAGCCACTCGATGTGTCCCTTCACGCCGATGTTTCTCACTCTCTCTCCCTTCCTCTCTCTCCCTCCCATTCTATCTGTACAAAAAATGGAAAAAATATCCTCGGGTGAGGATAAAAAAAAAAAAATTATTTTTGTTGCTTCTTCATAACTGTAATTTTGCTACTGTTACGATTTGCCATTGGAAATATGTGTTTTCCGATGGTCTTCGGCGACCCCTGTGAAAGGGTTGTTTGATCCCCAAAGGGGTTGAGAACCGCTGCTCTAGAGGATGGGTGATTAGTGGGGTGATAACCTGACGGGAAGCTTTGCCACCTGGGAGGGAGAAGGGGTTCCCCAGAGAACCCAGCCCCTGTCTTGGCCATGGATTTCAGTCATACTAAGGAGCTCTGTGGGTGGGGGTGAGCGCACCTTACCTGCACCCTGGGAGAAGGGAGAGGAGGACCTGTCCTGATCACTCACCCTTTTGCAGGTCCTCTCATGGCTAGCGGTAAGGTTGATAACGTCACAACAAAGCTAGTGTTTATTGAATGAATGCTCGCCATGTGCCAGGCACTGTAATCAGTACTTTCAACGTGTTACATCATTCATTCTCTCTGTGTGATAGGTACTGTTTATTACCCCTCCCCTTAGATGAAGTGTCCCTTGTGATTGTCCTTTTATGGATGGGAAACTGAAGCTTGGTGTAGATGACGTGCCCTTGGGCCACATAGCAGAAGGGGAGGTGAGACTAGCCTGGCCAGTAGATTGTGCAGAGGGGAAGGAAGGAAGCCTCCCCGTGGAGGGACTGGGCAGCAGAAATACGCTGTGACTGGGAACTTCCCAGCAGCCTCGCCTGGGGAGATGATGATTTTATTATTTGTAACAACACTTATTGAGTGTCTGTTATGTGTCCCGCACGGTGCCAGGTGCTTTACATGATCTCCTTTCATCCTTACTGACACTGACCAGGTAAGTGTTGTTCCCATTTAGAGATGAGAAGTCCGAGGATTAGCCAGGTTATGTAACTTGCCGAGGCGCTGACTCCAGAGCAGGCCCTCGGGACCCCTGTGCTGTGGTGCCTCAGGTCCGCGCTGGTCAAGGTGGTCGTGTGGGTCTCGGGCTTCCTCCTGTAATGCAGATGAGTCAGAGATGAGCATGGACAGCCTGGTGTCATTCTGGGGCCCCAGGAGACCCTGGCTGAACAGACAGTAGTGGAGATTTGGAGAGAGAGGGATGAGGCCTTGCAGCCAAGGGGAGCATCCAGACAGAGCCCCTGCTGTGCTACTGTCATCCTGACAGACCCTTGGGACATCTGTCCTCTTTCTGCTTCGGTACTGATCCCCTCAAAGTCCCCTGAAGTGCTGCTCTCTCTGGAGCTGGTCGATGACAGTGCTCACGATGGGTTTTTGTATCTGCTCTGTGTGCCTCTTCTCTCCAGCTCTGTCCCAAATGGGCTACAACCTGAGCCCCCAGTTCACCCAGCTCCTGGTCTCCCGCTACTGCCCACGCTCCGCCAACCCCGCCATGCAGCTAGACCGCTTCATCCAGGTGTGCACCCAGCTGCAGGTGCTGACCGAGGCCTTCCGGGAGAAGGACACAGCTGTGCAGGGCAACATCCGGCTCAGCTTTGAGGACTTCGTCACCATGACAGCTTCTCGGATGCTATGACCCAGCCCCCCTGTAGAGAGTGGTGTGCTCCAGGGCACCTTTCCTGGCTCTTTGGACTGGGAGAAGCCGGGAGGGGGGTCTCCTTTTCCTGCCCCTCCTAGAAAAGTTTCTCCCTTGCCTGATACAGTGCTGTCCCCAAGAGAGCTGGGGGTCCTGTGTCTTGGCCACCAAATAGTGGGGTCCTAGGCCAAGGCCACACAGGTAGGGGCCTGACATAGGAGAGGACTGGAAGTTAAATGTCCTTACAGTCCTTAGCATGTAAGTGGCACAGCCTTGTGGCAGGAGCAGCAGATGCCAGTCATTGTAATGGAGTGTGTGTCCAGTTGCCGGGCTCCAGCCTCTAGCTTTCCCTTCTGTGGCCCGACACCAGTGGTGAGTGTTCATCGGCCTCTTCGTCCTCTCGGATGAAGCCAGTTTCTCCAAAGTGGAGCCTGACCAAGCATGAAAGAGAGGTGCCCAAGGCACCAGTGGCTCGGATTCTGCCACCGCCATGCCCACAGCCGTGTGTGTGGACTTCCAGCTGCTGGGGGCTGTCCCTGCTCAGGGAGCTTGGACAGCCTGCTCTCTGGGCGTTTGGGGCCAGGCCACTGCACTCTGCAGATCGGACTGGACCCCTCACTTGCTACCACTCTCTGCTTGGCTTCATCCCCCAGCGGACAGTTGCCACCTCCCACTGCCAATGCCTTTTTTTGTTTTTTCATTTGGGGCCAAAAGTTCATTGAAACTAAGCTTCAATAAAAGGATAAAACTCTATTTCATGTTTTCCACCATGCCATCCCAGCTACAGATTTATATGCCCATCAGTCCAGTCACTCATTTATCCTTTCACTCAACAAAGATTTAAGTACATACATGCTGTATACCACACCACGCAGAAAGAAGCAGTGGAGGGGACACGGCCTGCGCGAAGCCGCCGTCATTTACTAGGGTGAAATTGAAGGGTAGGCGGTGGGGTTAGCTCAAGAAGCCAGTTGTGTGTTTTATAACAGTTTGAGGGCTGGCGTTCTGGGCTGGAATCTGCCGCCCCTACCTTTATACAGCCTGGCCTTTTTATGATCTCAAGCCCTGGTTTTATCTTCCAGACAAACTGCATTTATTAAATCATAACTTTCCCGTTTTTATTAAGCACAGACATCTGTACTTGGCTGCTGAATCTTCAGATCAGCATGATAACCAGTCTACACTGAATGTCTATAGTGAGCTGACAGTTTCAATCCAAAGCCAAGACACCAGACATTCTGGTTTGCCTGGGGGACCTTATCACGGATTATAGTGTGATGATCCTTTGGCTTTTGGGAGTGAAGATTAGAACTCCAGGCCCCAAGCAGGGCTCTTCTCCCTGCACTGGGTGGTTGGGAAAAGAAACTATGGCTGTTTGGCAGCTCAGTGAGGCCCAGCAGGTATGTCGGGCTCAGCAGTTGGGTCCCAGTCTCTGTAGACGAGTTGTAGAATTAGATGGAATCAGTTCCCAGAGGCCAGCCACCATCCAGAGCTCGTGGCCCCACGGTGAGTCCAGCCTCTGCTCGCCAGCCTCCAGGGAGAGCTCCGGGCATGCCAGCCCTTAGATGCCTGCAGTCTGCCACCGGATCTTCCCCAGGTCCTCTCGGGCTCTTTAACAGCTCTTCACTGAGCAGCTCTCCCTTGTCATCCTGGTCACCTCCCCTGAATTTTCTCCAGTTCACCTGAGTCCCCCAAATGTAGGCCTAAGGCTCACCATGGCTTTGAGTTCAACCAGCAGAGGGTAGGGGAAGCTTCTGTTGTTTCTTTGTTCCCACTGAGCCAAGTGACTACGGAAACCCGTCTTTAGAATGATGCCAATCATAATCAGCCTTGTGCTCCGCTGGGGCTGAGGGGCCCAGGACCTAGGTTGGTCCTCGCGGGCACAGTTGGTTCTGAACTTGGGGCCAGCCCTCACACCTCACTCGACACACTGCACCTCCAAACCTGGCTACAAACTTGACAAACAGCTTTGGATCCTAAGGCCAGTAGGAGGGCAAAATGGGCAGAACAGCCCAGCCCAGCTGGCCACGACAGCACTCCTTTGGAAATGTCCCCGAGAGAAGGGCTAGTGAGTCATCTGGAGAGCAAGGTGACAGACCACACCTGTAAGTGTGTAAGCATTCCTGGGCTGGGCCCCTGGGAAGACCACAGTTTTGCCCCACTTCCTGATGGGTGAGGTCAGGGAGAACCTGCAGCGCCATTAGGTTAAGCAGACCTGGCGGTGCCCAGGCGGGCCTCTGCCGGGTGTCTCCCACTCCTCACAGAGCAGTGCTGCAGACCGGCCACCTCCTGCCCGCAGCAAGGACCAGGGCCTCTGGCAGCCCTCTAATCATCTCCGCGGCAGGCGGAGCACGTCGGCCAAGGCTGTAGCTCTCTCTTTATCCTGTGAGTTCAAAGAATAAACACAAGCCCTGCTATCCAAGAAGGTGGAGATAGTAATAAGTGAGTCTGTTCACTCCGCTGTCTGCCCACCCTACCCCTTACCGTCCACAGCCTGCCGGGCCATGAGCAGACTGTGTCAAGGACTGAGGTCCCTGGGCAGCAGGCAACCGGCACCGCTACGGAAGCAGCACCACGTGTGCGCTGAGGCCTGGCTGGGGGCCCCTCTGACACCCAGTGTTTTGGGGGATGGGAAGTGGGAGTAGTCTGCAGATAATAGCATTCCAGGGCTGCCTTGTCATCTCCCCCACCCCCACCCGACTTCCCCACCTTCCTCGCTTTTAACCTAAGCAGCACAGATTTTGTGCAATGACAAGGAAAGGGAACATTCAGTGCCAGGCTTTTAATTACATTTGCTTTGGGCTGCTGGCCTCCACGCCAAATGGTCACATGGAGAGAGTTTTATCACATCACAAAGCCAAAAGGATCCAGTCTGTGGTGGGAGCGCTCGGCACCTAGTAAGGGTGGGGCTGTTCCTACAGGAGGGGCTGGGCCGGGTTCAGGCAGCACAGCGGGGCTGGCCTAGCAGCCCGGGTGGAAATGTGGCTGGGGCCCTTCCAGCAGACTCCAGGGAAGGCCTGTAACGGGCAGGAGGGGGGTCTTGGGAAGGGGGCCAAGCTCTGGAAGGATGAGGAGGATCGATGGTACTGTGAGGTACAGCCGAGTGAGAGGGATACAGTGGTAATCTTGTTCACAACACTTCACAGTTTACAAAGCGCTTTCCACTTTCTGGAGCATGCTTAACCCTCACATCAGTCCTGTTAGGGGACACGGCTCAGAGGAGGAGTGGTACTTGCCCAGTGTCAACAGGAAGAAAACCAGGCCTGGAGCCCTGGCCTCACGCTGCACGCAGCAGTCTTCCCACAAGGAGCCAGGGCTGGACCCCAGGAGCCAGAGGAGCAGTCCAGGCAGGGAACAGGTTGCACCCTCTGGAGCCCCAGGGCAGCGCTCGCTCAGGGCAGCACTGTGGTGACGCTGGTGAGCACCACGTGCTCTGAGACTTTGGAGACAGAACATTGGCTCTGTAAGGACAAGGACTTGTGCCTGGCCGAGGAGCGGGGGCTGGGGGCCTTCAGAGAGCTGCAGGGACCCAGGCCAGGCAGGCAGCAGGAGAAGGCGGCTTTAAACTGCTCCCGGAATTTGCCTTGGTTGGAAGATAGAAGACACAGCCATGAGGAGACAGACGCAGCAGGAAAGGGCCTTGGGCCCAGGGACACCCACGCAGCTCAAACTAAGCTGCCTATGTGGGGGCGGGAGGGAAGGGGAGAGCTGGGACGGAGAAAACCCCAGAGCCACCTCATCACTGCCAGGGAAAGACAACAGAGGCCCCGAGCAGGTTCCCAAGGAGAAAGGCAGTTTTTATCTGATTCCTTGACTGCGCTCTGGCTCTGAGCCCAGCTCTAAACGTGGTGTCTGGCTCAGGGGCCTCAGATCATCCCTGCCCTCCTTGGTGTGTAGGTGGAGAGGCTGGGGGCTCACCGAGTCTTTCCCCATCTCTGTCCCAAGATCGTGAAAATGGCAGCAGCCCTCACACCAGCGCCCTGACAGGCTGGGATCCTTTATCCTCACTTCGCAGGTGAGACACACGGAGGTCCAGCGGCTTGCCAAGGTCACCAGCTAGAAGCCGGCCCCGTTCTAACTCTAAAGCCCTTTGCTTAAAGGGGAAGAGAGAGGGGGAAGGATGCCACAGCCACCTTGTTCAGCCAGACACCAGGGAAACATTTTATCTGGAACCGAAACCCTGGTCACGGTCCAGGATCCCGCCAGCCTCCTCGGTGCCCAGCAGAGGGCCGAGCACACAGTAGGTGCTCAGTAGATGCAGACCAAACAGGAACCACCGTGTCCTCTGCTGCAGCACCCAGCTCTCTGTTCTCTCCTCTGAGCTGTAGGCCACCTTTGCTGAGAGAATCTTGAGTCTCACTGAGGGTTACAATATGGACCTTCCACCCTTTTCTTGAGGACTATTTGTGTCCAGGCTTGAACAGTCATCTGGACCAATTCCTTAGGCCTTGAGTCAGAGGCCTGGTTAGTCTCACTTTTGCTGGGCTGGGGGATGGGTGGGCATGATCACCCTGAAACAGCTGGAAGGAGGGCATGGGAAGTGTGGGACAGTGGAGAGGGGCCTGGGTTTCTAAAGGGGGAGCGAGAGGGCTGTGCTGGAGGAAGGAAGATGGATCCAGGGATAGCCCCCCAAATTCTAGCCCCTCTGCTGGTGTCTGTCTCGCTGGGCATGGGGAAGCCCTCTCTCTGCCCTGGGCTGCCTCTGCTGGTGCTCCCTTAGCCCTGGTGCCTCGATTATGCAGTCATCCCTCAGGCCCTCTTCCCACAGGCCTGGCTCCCTCTGGAGCCTGTGTTGAGCAGACAGGCTGCCTGGAGGTCCTGCTGTGCACGTACCTGGGGGTGGAGATGAGCTGGCCTAGCTGCTGCCCTTCCCACCTGTTCACTGGGCTGTGTAACCTGCAAACCTGGACCCTGGGTGCTGGCAGCTTGCTTTGGCCGCAGTTGGGAGTGTGGCCGGTCTTCCACTCAGCCCAGGGCTCCTGGGTGGGGTTAAGTCTTCCCCCCAAGTGGGAGTTATCAGAGCAGGGTCCAGGAAGGAGTAGGTATCTGATTCCCCCGCCATCCTTTATTTGGTCTGGATTGGGGATGGCGATACGGTTGTCCTGGGAACTGTTGCTGCCCTCGGTCACCGCCCCCCCAGCCACTCACCACTGAGGAAGTTGTAGATGATGGGGTTGGCAGCGCTGTTGGCGTACACCAGCCAGTGGGAGAAGGTGAAGCAGGCGTAGACGGCTTCTCGGTCGCTGGCTTGGCGGAACATCCCGAACACCCTAGGACCCGGGGTGGGGTGGGGCAACGTCAGAAACGGGGCAGATGTGTGTATGTGATGTTGCTGACAGAATTCAAGCTACAGGGCTAAAGAGTACAGTAACTCCCTCTGCCCCTTCCATGTACCCAGTAGCCTTTCTTGGACCTCTGGGTCTGGGGTCTTGACCAGTTTTGGGTTCTTGAGCACAGAGGGTAGGGCCTGAGACTAGAGTATGCCTGGGTCTCCCCTTCCACGTTCTCATCCATCCTCACAGCAGCATACCAAGTCATAGACACTGTCCTCAGAGAAGTCAAGTGACAGGCCCAAGATCACTCAGCCAGGAGGTGGCAAGCACTAAATTGCATGAGATTCCCTCATGCCCGGTAGCTGTGTTCTTCCCCTGCACCCACGGCCACGCTCGCCATCCCCGTTCTCCCTCCACTCAGCTTGCTGTCCCTCCTA